CAAGTTAGCTGAATAAAACTGCAAAACTGTTGCGATCTTCAAGGGCATAATCCTCGGTCATAATACGTGACTGGTGGGGCTCGAATATGAGCCTGTGGGAGCTTAGGTGGTTGCACGCCAGTGAAGAAAAAGCAAAAGAACTCGTAAAAACGCTCGTGAAAACGCTTTAATGGGTGCAGTTGATTTGCAAGCAAACATTGAGAGTCACAGGAGCTGTTGAAGAGTTCTAGCAGGAGTCTGCACAGTGCATAGTACGGCACTTGCTGCGGGCGCCTTTCCTCACACGTGATTTAGATGGTCGCAGGTCCCATAGCACTAGTGTTCTAGAAGTGCTCGCCAAACCATGAAAATGGTGCGCCACTCTGAACCTTGCTACTACACGCGCGCCTGGTCAGCTCAACTAACCTTGGGGCGTGCCCTTAGGCATGCAATGAGACCGCTTTTAATTGTTGCAACACAGTTAAAACTCGCCTTGTGCATCGTTCCGTTTTGAAGGAGTACTCCTGTTCTCTTTGAGTCGTATTTGTGAATGTCGTCTTGAATAAAACCTTCTCTTCTTTTGGCTGAAATTGGCTTCCTTAGAGTGAAAGTTTGAGCGGCTTGGATTTTTTTGATCGAATATCGGAACATAATCTTTTATATCATTGTTCATAACCATGGGTTGTCTGGAAACCGCCGATATTCCGGATGTTGCAATATGTGGATAAGATAGTTCGAGACTCAGAACTATGCTGTCCGAAAATTAGAAAACGGCTGATAACTGATTCTCACAGACTTCGACGCTGTTTTACTTGAAGAGGGCACTTTCGCTTGCAAATTTGCTTCTTCCTTTCGTTGATTCATGTCAATTAAAAGGTTTCACTTTGCACAGACCTGTGAAGCTACGAAATTTCTTTAGTGAATCATTTTGGTTCCAGCATTTTACAGGTCTTTACAAAGCGGCCTGTACGAACTCAACCATAATTCGTTGCTCTCATCAAGCCGAACTGCGTTCAAATTTTTAGTTACTTATTCACGGCTTATCGTACTGACAGGGTTATTTTCACCGCTAGGCTGAGAAACGTTCCCGAGATGCGAGAAAACTTTAGGCCCCCATATTTCTGGATATCTATTACATCATGGCTAGGATTTACAGAGAATGAGGCCAAATGAAGGAATTAACTCTTTCAGAACTTACCCCCGTAACGTTTCCTTTAGCTCCATGAATTTCGTACTCTGGTTCCATGGATTCCTGATACAGTTTTGTCCAGTTGATGTTGTACTGAAAAAACGAGAGTCCTATAACTATTCTTCATCTAAATTAGCATAACTGCTGTATTCCAAAGATTGAACCCTGTGAAGTGAAAAAAGGAGTAAATTCTATAGGTTTCATAACTTCTACAGAACATGAGGGTGAAGGTGGGGAGCGTAGCAAGTCCCCCGCTCAGGTCATCCAGCCATATTGGGTTTTCTCGCAAGATCACTGGAGCCTACTTTCATAAGGAAGATATAGGGGATTATTTAATGGTTATACGGGTTGCTCATTTCGACGGTGCCGTTAAGCCCTTCAAAGGTCTTTGTACTTTGTAGAACTTTTCAAACCTTCTAGTTAAACGTTTACAAATGTATTGGACCCAATCACATCCGCTAAAATGCAGCGATTCATGAAACTAGCTGAATGAAGCGGTACTAAAGAAACAGAGTAATCTTACTCGGTATTTTTTCCCGTCCCCAGAGTGAGATATTCCGCTTGAGGGTTGGTGGTGACCTGAACTATCGGGAGACTTGCACGACTCTTGGTGAAGGTGCTGTATTTAGGGGCATCTGGGACTGGCCCTCACCCA